ACGGAGAGTCAGATGCAATACATTAATCAAGTGGTGAACGGTAATCATTAGAGCACTGGGCGAGAACCCATAGACATCTAATTGGACGAGCAGCTCCGCGCGATACAATAGTCCATGTGTCGTTCTGTTCGTGATAATAATTCAGTCTTCATTGCTGCTCGCCATGCCACTGTTTTATCACTTATGACCGCTTCAACGTATGTGTTTGGAACGTCAGCAGTGTTAAACGTCTACTAGGTCGATGAAGCTGAACAATTTGCACCCGATCACGATGTCCTGCACATATGTCAACTTATGAACAGTGATTAGGTAAATTTGCTTTAATGAATTGTTTGTGCATGTTGACGACTGTGTCGTTATCGCTGCCAAGGTTCCATTTCTAGGGGGCCTCGGTGGAAGGCGTGGTCTCGATGAGATTTTGCAAAATCAATGTCAGGCCAGTGTTACTATCCCAGATGTATTTGCGGTGTGTCTCAGCCTGGCCGACGATTTGAACTAGTATTGAGCAAGACAGGCGGTATAGCATGGCTGTCCAGCGAGGTGTATCAAAAGATGTGGCCTCTTAGGCTGCGGAAGAGAGATGTTCCGATTCTAGCTTCCGATTCCGAATCAGCAAATTTATGTTGGCTATAAATAATCATTTCTTAGCACAGGCTTTGCCGCACTTACAAAGAATGAAGATGGGAATAAAATCGACAGTTCATGGATACCCGCCAGCAAAGTGACGAAATAATATTTTCAGTGTAATGGGGCTACACGTATTTAATTATGCTTTCATCACATGAATTTTAGCTGCGTGGTTGTTAGCTGGTTGGTGTAGTTACAAATCATGCTTTAATTCGCACATCAATATCGTCGCCATATTTCTCACAGCATTTGGCAAGATTGTAGCCTCTCTGCCGAGCATACCACCGAGGTGAAGTATCAGTCGGATCGGATTAAAGCGGCGATGGAGAAACTATAACGTCGCTTAGACTACAAACTGCCGCATATTTCAACGCTGATGTCTCAACGACGAGGCGTATTCAACGGCAACTCGGTCAGATTACACTGTGTCGATATTCTGGGAGAAATAGATTGTCAAAACATGTTGACACTGATCTTCTCATCCCAAGACTCGCCGTATCGGAGCACTGGCCTACTCGCTGATACGAGACAGCAATATCCCTCTCATCATGATAAAACATCATGTGCTATACTCTAGAAGTGGCAGATTATATCACGGCTCTCCAAAACGCCAGCGATGTTCAATTGCCGATGACATAGCTATTCAGGCTACATTATGGCTATATCCGAACTTTTTCGACAAAAATATTCTCCAAACTTACGTAGATCACAGGAAATTGGATATTGAAAACCACATTGATTGCTTGCGAGCAGTGCTGGAGTACTTGCGCTGATATTAGCTATACAGCAGTATAGACAAGTATGAGTCTAGAGACAAGTGTGTTTACAGCAGTGGGAATTTATCCTGCTTTTGCTTCATTGGAAAACATACGTGTGGACAGATCTCGCGAAAATTTGGGTCATTGTGAATTTTTCAGTGCCCCTTTCCAAGACAGATTTTTTAAACATTGTTTGTCATGGCCGACTGCTTGGACAAGAAAAGTGCAAACTGTGCTGACAATGCACCACAACTCGCCAATCTCTCTTAATATGAGATGTTAAGGTGCAGCAGAAGGAGTGGCTTTCAAAGCCATGAATTCTGATCCACGTCGTCTATGACGCTTCATTCTTTGCAAAAGATTGTGCTTTGCTTTACGCAGATGCCAATGGTCATAAAAGCGTGATCGAACCTGAATCTTCCCTACTAAAAGATGATCGGAAATATAACCAGTCTAAAAAAGATCAACTCTCGATGCAGTTTGTCCTCGTCAGGTTTGGAATGCACCTAATCGGTTTCTGATATATACATATTGTGCGTTGTTGTGCAAACTGACGTCGTCACCACATAGCGCACGGAGAATGACAAGTGCATTATCCTTCTTTGA